AATCCGTCGCAGTGTTATACACACACACACGCACACACCCACACATATAATATCATATGTATACACTGCATCAGCACACTGCAATATAATATGCGACGAGTGTGTGTGTGTGTATGTGTGTGTAGTAGGCGAGGGGAGGGGGTGCACTAACAAAAAAATATAAATAAATACGTCCGCCGTACGTACACCATACATATATATGTATATAGTCCTATAAATTCCGTTTTAGGGGTGCCATACAGTATATATACATATGTATATGTGCAAGTGTGTGCACATATATATGAAATGGAGATGTACACGCGAACAAAGTGCGTCGCATATGTATTATGCGCGATAAACAATCGAGTATATATGTATATATATATAAACACATAGTAATTCACGGGACTCGCGCCCGCGCCTGTGTGCCGATGATAATTAACTCCAACGAGGGACGTACAATATATGAACATACACACACACATACACACACACACACATATATATATATATATATATGTGTGCACAAGTATAATGTTTATATTATATTTTAAACACGAGTGAGCGTGTGTAGGCAACGCGTCGCCGTGTGCAGCAGAAATGGCCATTTTTTTCGCCCCTTATACTGCAGCAGTTATCGTGACGGTTTGTCTCGATTTTTATGATTTTTTTATTGCCCGCCATTTAAAACTTCAGACCGGAAAATTTACCACAGCACTTATGTACAAATGCAGCGCAGTCATCATCGCGTGTGTGCAATCATGTATAATATATATTATATTATCATCGTCTGCGCACACACTTAATCGAAGGCAGGTTGCGGCGGGGACGATAACGACATGTCGTTACGTGTTTTTTTTCGAAGTGTTATCATAATATTATAATATCATATTATAGAATGTGAATCATGTGAAAGAGGAGAAAATAAAAATTAAAACGCATTTTTTTTTTTTAGTATAGAATTTCACTTTTATCTTTTATTTCTATTTATTCACTAACAGTAGGTATATTCAAATTATTATTATTATTACATATTTCAGTAAATATATATATAAATTATATATATATATTTTGGTTTCACAAAAAAAAAAAAATTGAAAAATAAATAGGTATTATTATTAATTATATTTATTATTAAATTTCGTATTATTACACACTCGCTATAAATAATATTATCAATATAATATAATATATAATATATGTATTAAAGTTATTATTAAATAAATTTTTACACGTTGGCTCTAAATGTAGGTACACACTTAAATATATATATATTGTATATACATTATTACATGTATATTAAATTGTTTTATATAATATGTATATATTATATATTATATATTATATATATATAGCATAGTCTATTTTTATTGAGGATCATTCGAGGGGTACAAAAATAATAATAAAATTAAAAATAAAACAAAATATACTAATTTTTTCCTTAAAAAAATAACCTATAACAAAACCATATAAAAAAAAAAAATTATGTATAAAAAAACAAATAAATAATAATATTATCTCTTTGATCTACGACACAGAGGGAATACTTTTCCTAGTCTCGGTGTGCTCGTTCACGAATGAATGTGTGGTGTGAGTGTGTGCGGTTATCGATTTGACCTGAAACAGGGTGCCATACTAGGTTTTAGTAAAAACAAAAAACAAAAAAATACAATAAATCATATTTTACAAAATAAAAACAAAAATAATATAACATGCACATGCATAAAATAAATCAATATAATATTCTAATATAATTATGTAGAGAGCTGGTTTTGTGTGAAGGAATCGGTCTTCCTGTGACGTTTATTCAAAGTGTTTCGGTATATCATCATTATTATTTATTATTATTATTATTATTATTATTATTATTATTATTATTATTATCATATTGTTATTCCATATATAATATGTATGGAATGTATATAAGCTTTGAATAAGTCTAACGCGTTTCAAGTTTAGGTACCTAAATATATTTAAATATACCTACTGGAGGGTGTATCAAAAATAGCTGACAATTAATGTGTAATTAACTAACTTTGTGTAATAATACTCTTGTGCATATTGTAATATAATCATATCAGACGCGTATATATAATTATTCTATATCGTATTATAATATCTGTTCAAGGTTCTGATATTAAAATAATAACAATATTCGATATGAACGTATTGCCAGTATATACATATATTACAGCGTTATAATACCTAAATGTATATTCGCGATCTCAAAATGTATGCCCCAAAAAAAACATACGCAAATTAAATAAACCCATTCGTCCTTTTACACGCCACGTGGTATAATAATGATATGCTGGTGGTGCGATTCGCCTGTATGTATTATTGTTGTAATGTTTTTTTTTCGCGTTTTTTTTTCTCTGAGCTGATCATCGCCGCACGTATAACATAATATACAAACGACATTCTGCCGTATACTCGCGAGTACAAGGGTCATATTCGCGAGGGCACAAACAATGGTGTACGGAGAGAGAGAGAAAAGTAGAGAGATGTTGGGAGAAAGATAGAGAGATGGAGTGAGAAAGAGATGAATAGAGAGAGATGGAGTGAGTGAGAGATCGAGAGGAATTGAGAGAAAAATAGAATGAGAGAGAGAGAGTGAAAGAGTATTATATTATGTACGCGCTTATAACATGTCCCGGCGGCATAACTCTCGAGTACACGACAATTGCAGTGGATATGTGTGTGTGTGTGTGTGTGTGTGTGTGTTTTTCGATTTTTTTTGTTTTTTACGATCCGATAGCTTCTGAATGAAGTCGTTCCGAAACTATATATGTATGTAAATATGCGTATATATATCGAGTGCTGGTGACGGTGGTGGTACGGTTTTATATGTATATGTTATAATATTTATGCGGTGTCTCCACAGTCGCATGTATATGGGAAAACGTATATTTAATGTATTTATATATATATTTATATGGACTACATCGAATACAATTAGAATCGGATATTATAATACATACATTATATTGATTAACATGTTTGACGGAACGTGTTTATCGCCGGCGTAAGACTGAAGGTATAGAGGTACGTACCTACCTATAATATAATATGCGTGAACAAATAATAAAATACGATAATTTGTCCGGTGGCGTTTTATGTATTATATTATATGAGCTTCTATATCGACAACGACGACTAAACCACTATGTATATATAGTATATATGCCATTTATTATTTTGCGCGACCGCCGGACGGTCGTAAAAACTCAATACACGCCAATAGGTAATGTATATTATATGGGAAAAAAAATCGCAAAAATCAAAACCCGATGAGACTGAAAACGAAAACTCGTCGTACCCGCGGCTACCGGCGCAATGTCGCTCACCGTTGTATGATTATCATTATTGTGCAGTGATAATATATTATGTTGTAAAATATATGAATCCTACGTTTTCGATTTATATCGATTTATAATAATATATTATGTGCCGTGTTTTATTATATGTATATGGGTACGTGTGTGACGAGTGTGACATATAAATGCGTGTAGGTAATTAATTAGAATATGATGTATTATATATTTGTTTTATTCGAGCTATAGTAATATATTGTTTTTCAACCGGCGATTATTTCGGCGCATTTTAAACAGCTTCAGACACGCGTATTTATTGAGTTAATTTTTTTATTCATACGCCATTTTGTTAGAATATATTATAATACCTATAGAGACAAATATTTCGCAACAGTTACTAATCTAAATATTGTAGCAAATCCGTAATTTTTTTCTCCTCCTACAATATATTATTATATCTTTATCGTTTCGAGCGAATATAAGTTCGACTTTATAGGTCACGAAATTTAGATCAATTCTCCTGGTGCAATATAGGTACATATTATAATGACGGTTGATTATTATATAATACTCGAGTTTATATTGCGGCCGCGCAGTCGACGAAGACGTGAAGTATAATATATAGGTAATATAACATGTGGCGTATAATATAATATTATATGGAATAAAAAAAAATTATACACGTCCCAAATGCCATACCGACAAGGACGGTACCAAATTTGGCGTTTCTGGTTTATTTTTTATGTAAAAAAATAAATAAATAATAATAATAGTAATAATATAATAACACTGGAGCCCCCCGGGCGCATGGTACGTCGTCTGCAGCGACTAGTTTTTGTGGTGACCGGGCAAATTGAAATGCTCGAGCCAAAGACTCCATAAGGTCGCGACGGCTGACGATTTTTTTTTCGTCGCCGCCGCGGCCGCCGCTCTCTCGCACACGCACACACAGGCTCGGCCGTCACTGATCAATTATTCCGACAACGCTGCAGCAGCAGCAGCATTGGCCGAAACAAAAGAACAAAATTCTCGAAATGTCATGCGGCCGGACGCGAGCGACGGTGCAGGTTCGGGGGGGGGTGAAAAAATCTCTATGCATAAATATCTCATTGTAACGTACATATTATAGTATATGTACGCACGCTCAAACGTACATATCTATATACTATTATAATATATACATGTTCTATATCGTATAGCTTTATTTATATATATATATACTGCAGATAGGTTATATACTATATTATACTACACGATAGGTATATTATAATATTGTAAAACGTATAGGTATATTTAAAAATGCGGTCGTCCTCTTACCTGGTGATCGTGATTCGAAGGATTCGTATATAGCTGGTATACGAGCGCGTGTGCTCACGGCATTCCGGCAATCCTGCTGCAGCGGCAGCTATAGTGGTCTTGTCTCGGCGGCGGCGACGACGGTGACGTCTTCTTTTCGCGATAGGCGTATTCCGTGGTCGGCGTCGTATTTGCATCGCTCGACGAGAGCTCGGCCGCGCGAGATTTCTCTTCGGAGCGATTCTGCAGGGCGACGAGTGGTCGTTTGGCCCGGGGGGGGGGGGGGGGGAAAGGGGGGCTTAAACACACTTTTTCCGTATAAAATTTTCTTTTTTAATTTTAAAATCGCGTTAACTCAATCATGAGGTGTATATATATTATTTACATTTACAGTATTTATATTTATAAATATATTATATATAATGAAAAAAGCGACATAATCCTTATATGAATACATTATTTTATATAATAATATAGGGGATAATATACAATATTATATATTGAACACAACTAGAAACAAACACGACGGTCGCGCGCGCGACAATAGTATATAATACAATAATAATATAAGGTTGCATGGGTATAAAAAAAAAAAACGAAAATTACAAATTGTATGTACAAAAATAAAAACGTTAAAAAAATATGGCGACGAAGGGGGTAAAAAATAAAATAAAAATAATAAAACGATAAGGAAAATTAATGATAACTCGTATATAATAGGTCGGGGGTGGTTGTTTTAAAAAAAAAATGTTATCCGTTTTTCTTTTAGCGATCACCGGCGGCCTGAGCGGCTGCCAGCACGGCGGCCTTCTGCGCCTGCGCCTGTTTCTCCTGCTCGTTCAGCTCCTTGATGGCCTGTATCTCTTTTTTCAGTTTCATCCGCCTGTTTTGGAACCATATCTTTATTTGCCTTTCTGTGAGGCACAGCGCATGCGCCATCTCTATCCGCCTCCGGCGAGTCAGGTAGTGGTTGGTGTGGAACTCTTTTTCCAGCTCTAGGGTCTGGTATCTGGTGTACGTCTGTCGACCACGGCGTCTGAGTCCGTTTGCTCCTGGAAACAGAAAACGAACGAGATTAAAAAATTGTTTCGTTGTATAATATATACTCTCAAATCAACTTATATTATAAGTATAATGAATGGGTGGGGCGGGTACGATTGTGTTATATACAAATCAGTATATCACATTGTATTATTGTAATATATATTATATATACAGGTATAATCTTAAAATGGTCTCGCATATATTATTATACACATTATATTGTTTTATATCACAATCACATATTATTATTATATTGTAATGTATTGTTGCGACTAGAGCCATAATTGAGTTGTCGAGTGTTGGCCGAATTTCGTGTATGAAAATGTGTTGATTTATATTATAATATTAAATATTTATAAGGTTAGATTTATTTATTTATATGTATTATAGACGCATATTATTATTATTATTATTATTATATGAGTTCGTTTTTTGTGCATAATTTATAGAGTTTGAGCGTATAATAAACATCGAATGATTGCTATATTCATATATGCAATTATATTTGTCAATAAATATGTTAACCGTTGAAATTCTGCTATAGATCCAACTGCAATAGGAATTGTATAGCTGATGATATATAGGGATTATAGATTGAGTTGTAAATATTTTTAACACTTTTATATATACCTATTACACGATAAATACTTTATATATTAAGCACCTTTAGTAAATGATCAATCTCGAGTGCGCCTCCTCTTGGTATAATATGTGTTTATTAATAAAAAATTAATTATTCGTGTTCGTTCGTATATATTAATATGTAAAATTATATTTATGGTAACATAATATTTTTTTTTACAATCAGTCTACGAATAAATTATTTTTTAATTTTAAAATCGCGTTAACTCAATCATGAGGTGTATATATATATATATACATGTATAGGTACATATCGTGCGTACCCTGTGAAGCGTATACAACAATTTACGTCGTAAATCATCGTGCACAATCTTGTAAAGTATAAATGAAATTAAACGATATAATATGCGCAACCGCATTAATATAATTACAAATCAATATTAAACACTTAATAACGAAGTCTGTATATAATATATGACACAAGTTGTATATTGTAGCGATCACTGTATAGCCTTAACGTGGTTTTCATAAGAATAAAAAAACAGGTTCATGAATAATGATTTAACTCAGAGTTCAATAAATACGTATATAGTTTTCCGACACTCGTCTCATTGTTTCAGATTCATTAGGTACCAATATTGATTAAATTATTATTATTAATTTAAAGGTACACAACACTAATTACGCGATGTAGGTGTATAGGTTCAATAATAATGGGTAGAGTGCAGTCATCAGAGATATTATATGATAAAGACATCAAATATATTCACGAAATATATAGGTACCTACCTATATTACAGGGACGAGAATTTAATGTAGTCTTAACTTTTTTACTTCTCTGTAAAATAAATTTAAATTCTGATAGGTACAGGTGTATTAAATTATAAATTCGATTACGATTTGTTTAACGTTTATAGTTTTCAAATACATTATATAATATACTATTGAATGTACTGTACCTACACAAAAATATTTTTTGTATATTGTCTTATTTTTAATACTTTTAGAGTTTTTAGCAAGATCTCTCTATGCCGATCGTGATTAGCCTTTAGAATTATATTTTTTTTTTGAACGAGTGAATGACCTATATTAACATATTGTAGGTACCTGTACTTATCACGATGATGGGAATCAAGCGGTGAAAAAATGATGATATTATAAGCAACTTCGGAGGAGGAAAAACAAAATACATATTTATATTCACTGCACCGCCAGCATGCAGCGGGATGCATTATGGTGCACCACTAATGGCGATCTTACAACACACATATACATACATATATATATATATACAATATACATTTTATCAGTGGGGATTCTGCGCCAATTGGATATACCTATTCGACGACTCTGGCGGCGGTGTGAACGCGGGCGGGCGGCCATGCGTGCGATTGATTTACGGCTTCGGACCGGTGAGTTACGGCCATGTTGGGGACTCGTGACGTCACGCGACATCCGAAAATAAAAAACCCGGGCGGCGGCGGCCAAGTGATACCAGCTGCAGCCTCTAAGTGGTGGGTTAGGAATTTTCAATTCTTGTAACTCATGCGAGCATCAGATTTGGAGTAATGTATAGGTATACAAACGAATAATGTTTATAAAAAAATATAGTCTTTATAATATAATTGTATGCGATATTAACCTATTGGGTATATTTTTAACGTAGCTGCGTGACGGTTTTCTACACACCTATATACGAGCCGTCCGGAAGGTTCGACAGAGCGTTACCTATATATCCGAGGGGAAACTGAGAAAAACATCGAAACGACGAAAAATCTTGGCATTTGGACACGTTCCACGGGCCAAAGTAAATAATTGAATTTGTGGACAAACGCGCTGTGGCGTGTGCAGCGTAAGTGGGATGAACCCATTTCTACTTAAATATATTACATTCCTATCCTATATGTTGGGCGGCGGTGGACGCGATTAACAAAGATTATAGAAGACGGCGGCGGCGTTTGTATGGGGAGGAGCGAGCTGCTGCAGGAATGAGTGGTCGGGCCGAGACGCCTTCCGTTTAATTCGCGCGAGCTATAAAAGTCGTATAGGTATATAATGGTATATAATATAATCCGATTAAGAACCCTAGGTCCATATATACCTGTATATGTGGGTATACGTATATATATATATATAGAGGCGTGTGCCGCAGTGAGATTTCACCTTTTCGGCCGCAACCGTCGATAAATTTCGTCGGGCGGTCCCCCATACATGTCCGCTCGCGATCAGTCGCCGTATTATAAGTTTTCGGTTAGCGTATATAAGTATACAGGTAGAATCTATGTACATAGTATATACAAGTACAAAGTATATATTATGTACTTATTGTATAAAAGTATATAAGTAGAGGTATTGTCGCTGCGGGAGGCGGTACCGCAATAATAACACTTAAGAAACTTTTATACCAACGGCCTTTTTTGTTAATTGGACGCCCGCCACTAATACATAAATATATATATATATGAATGTAATACAGATTTATACGATGCAAAACGGCCATCGGATCCATTATTGGCGACTACCGAGCATTACTATACCGTCGATTGCCGTACTTACACTTATATGTGTGTATACCGCTGGCGCGCTGCAGATGTCTCCGACCGAATTTATTATAATATCTAAAGTCGGTAGGGGTATAAATGGGTATAATGGGCACAAGCGAACATAACGACAGCGGCGTTAATACTATATAATACTATATATACCTAATATAGTTTTTCGAGAAATTGATTTATAGTATCAATAATATCGCGTAAAATATATAATATATCGTGATTAGCAGCAACCCCCGTTTGCCCGCGGTATATTCTGTGGTAGCTATATGTATAAAAAATGATGATAAGTATGATAGGTATAGATTGTCCCTGTGATATATTACAGAATAATAGTATAGATTTTGCGGTACCGATCGCGTCTCGGCCATGGGGCAGTGGAGAGAAAGGGAAAATACGATGTTTTTTTCCTGTTCCAGAATATCAGTATACATATATTATGGCGAAGGAAGAGCGCCTACGTTCGGTATAGAAGATAATAATAATAATATATATCTACATAATATATTATAAACCACAGTCGGGCGTTTAAATCATAATAATGTATTCATTTGCGGCCGCAATAAAAAAAAAAATAATAATATTGTTATTATAATATATACACGCCCGTTCGCCGCCGTCTACAAAGTATAATATGTACGTATATTGGGTGTCGAACGATTGGACGTCTTATTAAACGCGCTTGGATTATTTACAACGAACAGGTATACGCCCGTTATATACATATTATATAGTAGTACAGGTAAATTATAATAAACATTGCCGAGACCGCCGTTTGGCGATGAAAACGTTGTTATAAAATTATATTTTACGCGTTATTACTCTATTTATATACATATATATATATACATAATATGTATACATATATATATATATGTATAACAAACGGCGGCGAGAGCAACACCTGTACATTTAGCAGCGTTGAATTCTAAACGGAATAAAAGCGAGAAAAAGGTTATAATAATGATATTTTTATGTCCTAAACAGTATCGTCTACATAACGGTACATGTTCGTGACGGTGGGTCCGCATTACTATTATACATTGTCCCCGAGACCGTTGCTGCAGCGGGAATCCTTCGGCCGAACAAACACGTTTACGGCATCATTATACATATTATATAATATTGTACATATCATAAGCAAAGAATGAAAAGAAAGAAGAAAAAAATAACTAGAACGGTGTACACTCCTACTGGGACATAAATGTTTAAAATGTGTAAAGAATCTTATTATAATATGCATGCGACGGCGCATGACGTCTGATTTAGGGTGCGTATAATATATTATGTCTTTACCTTGTTGAAAATCGGATTTCTGATCGTAAACGGTCCCTTCGGTTCTCTCAGAACTCGGTCTCGAATGTGGAGTGGGATAAAAGGATACGTATTATTATATAGAGATTCGGAGAAACGGCGATCTGTTGCGTACAAGACACGCGGCAAACCCCGTGTACACTACTCTTATTATATAATATTATAAATATATTATTTATATACAGAATTTAGTCTACGGTCAGGGATGCAATATCATTTGTATATTATATTATGTACAAACGATCTTCGTTTAAACCGTCATCTCTCGAACGTCTGTCGTACAAAACATCACGATGATATATCGACGGGTATGTATTATATAATATGTATATACTCGTATTATATAGCCCTACAACGCAGCCACGAAGGTAAAATATAAATGCCACGCGCGCCTCAAGCGAACATAATACACGGATAAGACATTACGTTATTATATATTATAATATACCGAAGGGTAAATCGCTGGTCGCAGCGAGTACCTATGTATATACGTCATGTATTATGTACGTATAATATTCGCGATATGAGCTGAGAATTTGCATAATTGAACGCGAGCAAGA